ACTTCCATCACATGTCCTTTATTTTCACTGGATGACTGTGGTTTTCGGTAGTTTGAGATGTAATATGAATCATTCTCTTTCTTATTTAATTTGTAGTTAAATTTATTTATTTATTTTTTAGAAAAATCCACTTCTCCCAGGTAAAGCTCTCTCTCCATCCTTTGGGGAGCCTCTTTGTCATGAGCACTTCCACTTGTTTTTCCTATTTTCTACCTCCCAAAACTTTATGCTGCACTATAGTACAAATTGGTAGAATGCAAATTTATGAGGTTCATCTCTGAGCCAGGAAGAAACACGCAGGCGGTTGCTTGAAAGGAGAGTGAAAACTTGAGACCCAGATACACAACACAATCAGCTGCCTAAGGGCATCAGGGCTTCCCAGGGATCCCCTTTTATAGAGAAGATCCTTTAAAGGTGTGAAGGGAAACCAAACTCTAGGATTTCTTAGAAAAGGTAATTAGCCGGGATTGCAGGAGAGGGGGCATTCGGGTAGGGTGAAGTTGACTAGATCTTTAGAACGGACCTTCTAAGGTCAGGCACTCCATTGAGCTGGGGTTTCCTGTGTTTGCCTTATCAGTTATTGTCTAATGAGAATGTAGATCTCTTTGGGAAGAAATCTTTCTATGGTTTGATTTTTTGGATTTAAGCAATGTTGGCCCTTCCTGCCAGGTCTTTAGTGATTTAATTTTGGGCTAGTGTGGAGGACTCTTGATTCTTTCTGTTATGTCTTAAACAATTAGGTGAGCCCATTCTTACTATCATTGAGCCATATTCTTTGATTGCTGCTTAAGGTAGACAAAGGTAGGGTCAGGCAAATGGGAAACTTTGATTTCCTGCTGACATGGGGGGAGGGGGAAGAATTTGATTTCCTTCTCAAACATGAAAACAAACCATGAAAATCCACCAGCCCCCCAAATGCAAAAGTCCAGGTATTAGAGGGAAGCAAAATTGTTCACACAGAGAAAAAAAGAAAGAGACAGTGTCTCTTCCTATCCCCCTGCATAATTTTCTTTGCGCATAGAAGCAGAACTTGAACAAGAAAGAAGACAAGCAAGGATGGTGTAAGCATGTAATTCTATTCATGGAATTTGGCTTGTTTGTCTTTCAAAGATCCTATTCCCTCTGTAGTCATCCTCATTGGCCTCAATTGATCCATGATAACCTATTGCCAATCCAATGCCTTGTTGCCCTTCCCAGCCCCTTGTATCTTCTTATTTGCACAAGTGGATAGTTAGGGACTGTCTCCTCTCCCCCACCCCACTTTAGTCTTGTCTCTCCCTCAACTGACATTTTTCATTTTCAATACCAACGTGTCCCGCTCACCAGCTTAAAGGTGCCCTGGGGAGAATCCTCCTATATTATCTGTGAAATGCACAAATCCAAAAATGTGGATGAATCAATCTGGAAAGCAGCTCTAAACAAAGGCAGTGTTCTGTTTGGGTTTAACAATTTAAGTGTTAGTGTGCTCTTTTCAGAAGAGTAATTTTTACATATTTTCTGTACGATTCTTCACAATTTCAGTGTACCAGTTGAAGCTGTGATTCATGGAAGAACTCACAGAGCTGCTCTGAGGAATGGGGAGTTTTTGCCTGGCTTCAGATTCACTTCCTCTCACTGTGTCTCTCGTGCAGTAATAGAGTCCGGTGTCCTCTGGCGTGAGGTTGTTCATTTGCAGATACAGCTGGCTTTTGGCATTGTCCCTGGAGATGGTGAAGCGTCCCTTGACTTTGTCCGAATAGTAAGTGCTAGAGCCTGCATCCATGTCTGCCACCCATTCCAGTCCTTTCCCCGGATACTGCCTCACCCAGCTCATCCAGTAGCTGCTGAAGGTGAATCCAGAGCCTTGGCAGGAGAGACGGAGGGAGTCTCCAGGTCTTCTCACATCCCCTCCAGACTCCTCCAACTGGACCTCTGACTGGACACCTATAAAGAAATGTTCTTTAATAAGACCTTCTACAGGTAAACACAAAAAAGAGGATTAAAAATATTCTTTTGGGAGTGGAAAAACAATACCTCTGAGGACTACTAATAACAACATGAGTTT